AAACAATAATAATTCCAACTGTCACTGTAAATTTCAAATAAAGTCATAACTTAGATACTAGAGGGTTCTGACGATGGTGGATGACACAGAATTACTAGGTTTTTGGACTTTTTCCATTGTCCGGAATTCTAGGTAATAGAGTACATGACATTTCGGAAATCGGATCTGTTTCCGTCTTCAGGTGAGAAAGGAAGACACATAATCGGTTGAGCTCCTTAGAAAGAGCTAATCTCAATCACTGGACATTGCCTAGAATTGTGGATGATGGAAAAAGTCCAAAAACCTAGTAATTCTGAAGTCATAACTTACCAAACACTTTCGGATCTGAATCATCAGCCAAGATTTCACCCAAACCGACAGAAACATTAGAAAGGTTCACAGGTGGGTTACAGGATCTGAACTCATCTAACATATTAATTACACAAGTAAGATCATCCATATCTTGATTCTTTGACATTAAATGATCCAAAACAAACTGTCACCACAACCCTTAACCATTCAATCTAAACCAGAGAATAATACAATCGCCCAACCCAATGGTCATTGGTGCTGCTGTGGTCCTCCCTGTTTAGCTAGTGTTGTGGTAGGATCCCATGTTTTATTATGCTAACTTATCTTTAAAAATATAATTATATTTAAAGTTCATGTTCTATTAAAGTACCTAATACATCATTCATAAGCGTGTAACAATAATTAAAACATTATCAGTGACCTCAATTTCTACGAATTCTGGAATTTATGATGATATGTACTGGGGAAAAATTGTCTTCTGTTATGTAAATATGCTAAATATGTGAATAATATATATAATCCAAAAACTTGTTAAATTATTCATTCAGGAGATTAGAAAACTACCTTATACATAGGTCAAAGTGTAAATGATGACAAAATTTGTGGAGGAATACGGTAATATTGATTACTGCATCATACTTTTCATTCAAATTATCCCAACTACACTACATACACGTACTTATGAATATGAAGTTTTTCTCCCTATGATTGAGTTTACGTTGGGCTAGTACATATTAGTTAGAGGATTTTGTGTTGATATGTATACTTATGTCATTTTTTAAGTAACTCTGACATTTCTGTGAAACATTCCTTGATCTGAAGATTCCACGTGGTCAACTCTTTAAATCCCTGTGGTTACTGCATGTATCACCAGCTTTGATCTACTAAAACCATGACGGCGTGCATTTGTGTGTTTCTTGTGGTTCTCACAGTAGAGAACAATTGTTTCCTTAAACAGCATTAACGGGCTGATTTTTTTTTTTTTGGTGGATGTAAGGAATTTCCTATCGGCACAAAAAGAATTTTCGGATATTGTGCAGAAGTTATGTTTTAATAGATTAAGTAGTTATAAAGCTATAATAAATATGACCTCCAATGATATATAGTCTCGGTACTGACAATGTAATTTAATAAGCAATTGAAATCCGCTCCCTTGCAATCTGGAAAGTCGAATGGAAGTCAACTTTACTAACGACTAAGCTATCGCTACCGATCCCTACTCCCACTCCAGATCCTGCCAGACCGTACGTTGTCCATGACCGATTGATAGGGTAACGGTGGGCAGAACGGTACGTTTTTATCCGTGAGTGACAATATTCGGCGCACGGAATGTTCCGCGATTTTGTTTTGCGGATTGTACGTGTAAAATTTTGAAAGCTTTAAAAGGTTTTGAATCCGAGATCCGTAGTTGTGAATGGCACTGTTATTTGTGTTTAGGTCTTTAGGGACAGTTAAGGACCCGTGACGGGATTCACGGCTTAATGCCAGTAGCAAAGGAAACATGCTTTAATAGAAAAAAGAAATGTGTGTATTGCCGTCAGAAGTTGTGTTTGTAACGTGTTCAAATCAATAGTATCAGTTTCTGTTTGTTTACATGTTCGAATAGGCCATTCGATTCTGTCGCAGATTGTCGCTTGGAGTAAACGGCTGTATCTTTAGTGGTGTAGTTCGTACGGTACAGTGGAAGTGGCCAGTGCATCTTTTTGTGATAGTATTTTATTCCACTTTAAGCAACATCCGAATCATGGCAACGTTAGAAAGATTAGTAAAATCATTAGAATCCCTCAAGCTGCTGTAGTTATCCCAGTCACTGTCGGAAGAAACGTCATTAAGGTATACGGATAGTTTGCATATTTGAGATCATTAACGAGCGAAGTGAACCCGAGCCCTCTTCCACTTTTNTCCACTTTGTCTGGATCCCCAAATCTTTTTCCAAGAGCGGGTAATGTCAAGATATCCGAACCATTATAACATCTCAATTTGGCAGAATCTCACCCCAGCAAGGAGGAATGCCTAGATGTTATCCAAACAAATGTAACCACCAAATCCACTAATGCTACACTGATCCGAGAGTTTATTCTTGGTTACATTCAAGACAGATATTTTAAGTACCACATTCTGTTCAATTCTGATAATATATGCCACTGTGAAAATCAACTGTGAATGTCGGTTGACCACATTAATGCATATCAGTTTCTTCCCATGGAGTCTGTCCTTTCTCATACAATGAAATAATAATTCTGCTGGCAAAGGATGAGAAAAGTGTCATATTGAAGACTCGCTGCTTCTTTCTTTTGTGGGCCCAAAATTTATTACAGAACTTGCCCAGTTTGCATGATCATGCATTTATAAGAAACCTTCAAAGACCTTTCTTGTGTATGCTTGCAAAGGAGCAGATCTTTCCTTCTCTTACATGACTGAAATATATTGCAGAACTTGCCCAACTTGCATGATCAGGTACAAAAAAACTTGTAAGAACCTTTATGTATATGTTTGACTCTACCTGGACTCAAACTCTGACCCCTTGGTCGTCCAGCCTGTAACCAGTTGGTATACCGACTACACTTGCTTGCTACAAGAATAGATTTGTTACAGAGGATTCTGAATTAAAATTAATAGCCTTTTACAAACTTCTTACGCTGATATTTGGGTTTTCTTGCATTTAGTAGACCACATTCGAATCTTCATCTCCCAAACTCAAACTTGCCATAGCATTTTAATTTTTTTTTCTAGTTAATAACATTTGTTAAAATTAGTGATGAATATTTGTTCTTTTGAAGTTCCTGTTCGTAAACATTTAACATATACTCTTTTAAATCAATGAAACCTTGAATACAGGATATTTTTAATTAGTGAAAGTTGCTTGTAATTGAATCACAAGGAGTATGTACCTTTCCAGGAATGTTCCTGTTTCATGCAGGTACTTCAAGATAAAAAAAAAGCATAGTACATACCATGAAGAGTTTTATCTCTGGGGTATAACTCTGTGTAGTCCAGTGAAAGATGGTTATAATATATCAGAAGAACACATTGGTTGATTTTCATTGGACAACACAGTGGTATATTCCAGAAGATAAAGATAGTAACAGGTGTGAGAACCTCAGATCCAGCACAGCACATGCCATGTTTTTGATCCCGATCACAAGTAAGAAATTTGTATTACCAGTTGGTACTGGCATACTGTTAATGAGCTGTATGTATTGCAGTTTCCTTTTTAAATACTGTATTAGAATATTCTGCATATTATTTGTTGGCAGGCTCAAGTATTTCCTGTTTGCAGTATGTGATCCTTGGAAATATTTCAGGAATCACAGTTTGGAGTTAGGTTATATGAAGAGAAACAAATGTGCAGGCAGGCATTTTTTTTTTTTTGAAATGCTCTGTTTCCAATTATATGGTTTATGTTTATTAGAGGTAATTTTACCTCAGGTTTTCCTATATTCTTGTGATCAGGGAAACTTTTAGGTGACATGTTGTCATTTAATCAGGGCACTGTTAGACAGGTTTTACTGCATCATAATTTTTTGTTTGGCAGGTACTGATGAACCTGCTCCACTCTTGTTCTCCCCCTCCCTTCCATTTTAAGATTACTAGGATTCTTGCAGTTCTGATTGTATTTCAAAAACATTATTCATAAATGAGCAAATCTCATCCCTAAAATTTCACTGCTCATATTGAGCCGTATGTCCCTTGACCATGCGGGTCGGGAACCCAGTTCCCCTACCCAGTTAACCCATGGACTCGTGTTCACTGTGGGCAAGGGACAGGCTCATAAGACGACTTGCTTGCACGTGGTGCACTATGCCTCCCCAAGGTCGAGCAGGGGATCTCGGGAGAGGAAAACCACAGTCGGCACAATGGGCCAAGCTGGACGGATCTGCTAGCCTGAACTAGCAGGGAAACCACACAACCCAAGTATACACAAATACTGCAGGCGTTTCTAACATATAAATAAATGTGTATATTGATAACAAGGGATACAGGTGACTCTGCCTGAGGGGCAGTAGCTGGTCAAAACACACTCACAATTAATACAGAATTACTCTGTGGCTAAGCGCACAGACACAAATATGAGCACGCCTCATGGCATCCATTTGACTTTACAGGTGACCCTGCCTGATGGGCAGTAGCTGGTCAAAACTCTCTCTCTCAATTAATACAGAATTACTCTGTGCTAAGCGCACAGACACAAATATAAGCACGCCTCATGGCAACCATTTGACTTTACTGGGAATACAACTATATATTCATACTCACGCGCCTGAAAGGCGACCGGCTATTCAAGCCAACAAACAAAACCATTCAATGTACCAAGCTTAACCTCGCGACTCGATACAACCTTCATCGGGTCGCGAGGGCACTCTTCCCCCTTCAGAATGCGCCCGGGGCCGAAACAGAATTTCACAACTCAATCAACCTAAACAGGAAATTTAGAACTGGCGGTGTTACCTGTCTGAAGGTATCGGGGAAAAGAGATCGAGGCATTCCTCATCACCACACAAGAAACCTCGGATCAGTCCAGGAAGGGAGGGGGAGTAGGTCAGCTGACCTGACGTCAGCTAAGACTATGAATGGAAAGAGGGAAAACGGCTCGCATCCCGGCGTTTGGGGGGGGGGACTCCAAAGAACTTCGCAGAGAAGAACCGTTGCACGGTTCAATATACTATGGAAGTTTCTTAAAATATTATGTTAGGACAGTGTTCCTGAAAAATAATCATGTTTTACATTATTGTCATAGAGTAAATTAGATTCTAATTATGCAGTCAAGTCATAGTGAATTCATGAACTTCTTCCCACATGAATGTACCCTGTCGTGGGTTTTACCATCTACTAGTTTTCCTTCTGCTGTCACAGATTTCTCCAAAATAGGCATATTAATGCTGAAGGATTTTCTCATGTCTGTTCCTGTGACAAGTGGCATTGCTGTAGCCATTATCATATCTTCTGCTACCTGGAACCTATGCCTCATTACAAGTGGTTACATTTGTGAGAACAGGGTAATTAACAGGAGCTAAATCTTGAGATTAGAGAGATACCGTTCTTGGCCTATAAATCCTCTTAAAAATACATCCCTTGTTGGAGACAGCAGTTACTCTTCTTGGAAGATGATACTCTTGTACTAAGAGACTGATAAGCTGGTGTGTTTTCATGGTGGAGTAGCCAGTTTCCAGATTCCCAAAGATGAGAGAAGTTACAGTGGATCACTTCACATAGGCACTTACTATTTCAACAGTTTTGCCAGCCATTCATGTATGATCCTCTCAAACATGGGCAGTGACTATTAGGCTCCTGATTACAAGCTACCACACATGTTCCCTTCTATAAGTCATCATGAAATGATTGCCATACCTCCTTGATTTTTTGTTTTGTAAGATTGCACGCTGTTTGTTTACTTTTAATATGAGTGTTTGGTGATTTATCTTATGATCTGTACCTCCCTGAAATTTCAAAATCATTTGAATACCAAAACTTGACTCATGGTGTTCCTGTATGGTTTTTTGGTCACATTTTGAGTTCGAGAATGTCTTACATTTACATTTATTTTCACTTCATGGATCCAATCATCTCCCCATAGGGCTAGATATAAAACATGTCACACATTACAAATTAATGGTGACTACACATCATACGTCCTTGGTCCAATAAAATATATAATCAGGCCTCACGCAGACAGCAAAAGTTGTCAAGACAATACACCTAGGCCATGGAAAAACCACTGTCAAATTCACACCTTGCCATTCCACACACACTGGCTAGCCATATCAACAGTACAATTTCATTATAACATATTAAAATTCATAACAATCACAGACGTCATAGATACTACCACACTTACAACAAGCAAGTCTTAACAACGTTTAATACAAGCACACAGACCATTTATTAACGCCTAACTTTTGAGCCCCTTGCATGCTCGACAAATTTGTTAATAGAGTAAAATGAGTTATTTTGCAAATAATTTTGTAAAACAAACCTAAATTGGTTTTTATCATTTTTTAAAACAGATATTTGATGGCAGAGTGTTAAATAGCTTGATGCCTGAATAATACACCCCTCTCTGATAGGATGATAAATGTGTTGAAGGTATATGAAAGTGGTCATTCCTTCTTGTACCAATCATATATACAGAGTTATTGGTCTGAAACTTATCCAAATTATTAACAACAAACATCATCAGTGAGAGCAAATATACACATGGGATTGGTAGTATGTCAAGCTTTTTAAATAAATTTTAAATAAATTTCTGTCAATGACTATTTACTTCAAGAGTTTAAATGTACATGAAGTCATTATTGTATTTTATGTAAAGACAATGACATTAATGGTAATTAGATCTAGATAATATTATTCAGAAGACAAACCCCCTATATTAGGGTGGTACAGTGTATTCTGTAAAGATACGCATGAGAATCTGACAATTTCCCTATCCAAATGGTTGTAATACCTGTATGTATGGATTGTTGAATGATAATAAAAATGAAATGAAATGAAATTAACTTGTCTTTGTTTGCATTACAGGAGAAAGGAGAAAATAAGTCATTGTTTGGCAATAGCAGATGCAATGTGCAACTCTGGAGTGAAAGGGGCACCGAACTTTTCCCACCTTCTGAGCATTGCTATAGAGATACTACTTCAGCTCTGTGATGACTCTCATTCGGATGTCCGTATGATAGCAGATGAAAGCTTGAACAGAGTCATCAGGGTAAGCAGAGTCTACCTGGGGGTCCAGTATTTTTTAAGGAGACAAGCAATATTAGTTCTTAGGAAATTCAGCCGTTACTGCACCCTGAATATCCCACCCACTAAACGCTGATTGCATGATTAGCAACTCATCTTCATATTCAAGAGATTGCAGGTTTCAGTCTCAGCCTGACTACAGATTTTTGTGGTTTTCCTCAATATCTTATGCTTGGAAAATAATTGCACTCTCTTCAGGAGCCTCAGCATCTCACAACCTTAAGGGCCTTCTCAGCCTCTTACAGGGATAGTTTTACCCTTTTTACCTTCACTCTTTTCGTTCCACATTGTTTCCTATTAAACACTCTCAATGAACCTGCCTTTTAACACTGTATAAACAGTGCATTTCTAAATAAAATTTATCTTTTCCACACAGTTGTATTCTAAGTGCTAGTGTCAAGGTCCCTTGTTTGAATGTTTTTGGTTGTATTCTAGTTATGCTAAAGAATAAAGGAAACCTCTAATAGAGATTGGTGAAAATAACCATTAACACTTCCTGTTAAGCATATAGGTTTTGAGTCAAGTAGTAACATACGACAACACTTGGGAGGTCTCTGATTCATGAGAATGAAAAAGTGAAAATGGCTGTTGGTGAAGGGCTGCAAATGTAAGAACCTGATTTCTACCACAGCAGAAATTTTAAATTTATTTAGATGGGACATATGTGCTCAGCGATTGTGTTGAAAAGTAATGATACATCCATGGAATAAATGGGCTGCATTTAACGTTGTAATTACTTCCCATTTAATTTGTATGACCTAGGGAACCTTACTTATTGAACAGTCCTTGTGTTTGATTTTATACTGAGACAGTAGACATCTTAACGTGAATTCTATTTGGGTGTAAATAGCCACAGGCACTTAAATGCCTTTAAACTCACTCAGTCTCTGGTCATCATAGTTCTACTAATTATTGCTCTTGTTCATAAGTTAATTTTTTAATGTTTTCCCACTTTCTTCTTGACTTTTGCCTTTTTATTTCTCTGTAGGCAATGGCAGACAACAATGTAGTGAAAATTCAAGTTGAACTGCATAAGGAAATTAAGAAGAATGGAAATCCTCGTTCTTTGAGAGCTGCACTTTGGAGATTTGCAGAACTCTGCCATTTGATTCGGTATGAACAGGAGAGATCTTTATTTGGTAGTGTTCCTGTCATAGAGAAGTGTTAATTGAAAGGTGTATATGAGGTTCTTATATACCGTATTTACGCATGTATAGGCCGCACATTTTTTGCCAAAAATTCAAGAGGAAAACTGGGGTGCGGCTTATATTCAAAATATTCGAAATCACACTTCATTTAAAAAAAAATTAAACGTTGCCAAATTTCGGAATAATTTCTACTCCTGAAATAATATTCCAAGAAAATTATTTTTTCTATAATTTCTGTGTGAAAATTGTGCTGCGGCCTATACACGCACGTGGCCTATACATGCGTAAATACGTTAATTTAAAACGTCTCAGTCATTGGAGGATACTGTGTATTACCAAATGAGATGTGAGAGTGGTAGTGAACTTTGGTAAATGGGATATCGTTGGAAATGGATGTATTTTGTACGCATTCTCATGACATTTGCTAAAATTTCTTTCAAGACATCTGTCTCGTCACATGGACAGGATTTGAACTGGAGCACAAATTATTAATAGTCAGACACATTATTTTGATACCGAAACCTGTTCATTTGAGATGTATAAATGTGCTATCTATTTTGAGATCAGTTACTATTGTTCTCACATATTAGGCAAATTAACGCCTACATTACCACGTATAAGTCTTAACTAACTATTTTAGTCCTCTTTTGGAGTCATTTTATCCTTATTATTATTTAAATACTCATTGACCCATATACAACCTGTATTGTAATGTCTTTTTATTGTCTTCCCCCCCCCCATCTCCAAACCACATTCTCTTGGGCTTAAGGTTTAGACAAGTTTACTGAATTGAGTGTCTTTTATTGTCCTGTTCAAGTGATTTTTATACCAGTTTTTTAAGACCTGGCTGGTCATGACACAGCCTCCTTTACAGTCAGTTTTTAACCAAACATTTACACACCTTAGGCAGAACATTATGAACTTTGACAAGGGTGTAACTTTATTCTTTTAAATACTGGATTCAGTAAAAGTGTGTAACATGACTTTTATGCAGGTACACATAGCCATAGCCACTGACGTGCCATTATAGCCAGTAACGCACAAATGTGCGTGAGCGCACGTGTGTGTGCACGCGTGCACACACCAATAACTTTTGATAGTATGGCTTTGCAGTTTAAGATTTGCTAAGTAAATTAAATTGCTGACTACTCTAAATGAAGCTCAGGTCAAACTTCATCAATTTTAAAAAATGTATTTTCAAGAAAACTGATACATGACATAAAATTTAGATCTCATTAGGATTAAGTTTTATGGGGAACGATTGTGATAAGGTGAATATTTATTAAGCACAAGGGAGTATTATGTCTGTGCCATGTGATATCTTTAGTATGATAGATGTAATAAGTGACTGTCAAGGCCAAATAGATGCGGAAGGTGGCAAGGAAGACGTGGAACATATGTTTACCCCATTGGTATATACCTTCTTGCTTGAATTTCACTTGTTACAGATTTTCAGTCAGTGAGTCAAACATATGTATTAGAAAAGCTGTCGACACTTGTGTGGTGTGCAGCACATGATAGTTCTTCAGTTTCCTATGTTATGTGTTAGGTTCGAAGCCAAAGTGTACGGTTTATGAATAGGCAGTCTGTTGTTGCAGACCACAGAAAGGCAAGCCATATGTGGTGAATCTCATACCATGTATTATTCACATTGCTCAACGTACTGAAGAACCTGTTTTGGAGACATTAGCTGCTGCCATGCCAAAAATATTTAAGGCACTTGGAAATTTCACTTCTGACATTGATATGAAGGTAGGTATGATTTGCATGTGCATATATTTGGTAGTATTTTTGGACTATATTAAAAGACCTTTTTATTCTTCTAAATGTATTTCATTTGCATAAAAGAGCTTCCAGATATATAATTAAACAATCTTAACTCACTTAGCATACTATTTATGCATAAAATGTCAGTATGTGTGGGAGTTACTAGACATAAAGAAGACCACAGTTTTCTTTATGTAATAACATTCATATTTCACTAATTTTACACTGTCCTCAATTTTGCATTTATTTTAGGCAGTCCCTTAAAAAGTGTAAAATCAAGGTTTCACCATATAATGTCCATAAGTTGTTTTTGAATAGCAGTAATGTCATAGCCTAAATGTATGTGTCCCACTTTCCTTTATTATAACAGATCTCAAAACCATGCTGTTTTATTTAAATAATTCCATTCTGAATAATATTTCAAATAAGGTATAGCTTGCTATGAAATCGAATAGCCTGTGAGAAATAGGATTCTGATATTAATATTTCCTGTTTACCATTGGTTCTAGCGGGGGCACACTGTAATGTAGTTGGTTGAGGCACTATGCTACAAGCTGGAAGGTCATGGATTTGAGTCTCGATAAGGTGGATTTCTTCATCTTTACATAATCCTTCCAGCTGCATTATTGCCCTGTGGTCAACTCAGCCTCTAACAGAAATGATTACCAGGAATCTTTCTTGGGGGGGGGGATAAAGGGCAGCCAGCGCATAAGGCTGACAACCTTACCCCCATCTGTGAGCTGATTGCCTAGAGAAAATGTGGGAGCCTCAATGTCTGACAACCCTATGGGCCTTCATGGCCTGTTACAGAGAAAGCTTTTTTTTTTATTGGTTTCAACAGACCATTTTATAGTAATATTATAACAGTTTCATAGGTTGCAGCCACTCTGCTTTCAAATTATATTTGTTAAGGAAATGTGTATGCAAAAGTGCAGTATTTGAGATCATTTTTGTCTGGATTTGTCTGCTGAATTTTCAGTAATAATCTTGATTAATTTTGTTGACATTGAGTCATCTTAGCATCACCACAGCCATAGACCAAGCAGATTTATAACAGTAATATTCCAGACTTGTATTTGGGAGATACATGATTTGAATTCAGCCTGGTTATTAGCTGAGTTTTGCCATGGTTGTCCTTTGTTCTTTCCAGGCATATTTTGAGGTGGTACCTAAAAGCTGACAGACCTGTGTCCACCTAAGTTCTTACACATCCAGTAATTAAGACCATCTTCTGATGAAATAAGATAATTAAGAAATTCAAAGAGTCTGGATATAGTAACCTGCTCATGTATCCTATGAGAAATGAGACTATCACCTATAGCCTGTAGTAATTATACCTGAAGAAACATGTTACATTCCTTGTTTCAGGGTCTTCTGAAAGCCTTCCTGCAAAATCTGTCTTCAAGTTCTGCAGTGGTCCGAAGAACTGCTGCAGCAAGTATTTTAACTGTGTGTCTGAATTGTAGGAACCCACATGTCTTCATCTCCTATATTCTCAACACTATACTTGGTCAGTTGAAGGTTGTATTGTAATGGATTTGATCACAGCATTGGTAGACAGTGCCTCAGTAAGCACATTCCCATGAACATGCAACAATGGGAACTGTGTTCTAGGTTATACAATAATCCTGACAACAGAGGAGAGTGTTTTGTATGTGATCCGTGCCGTGGCTATGTAACGAGATTTACTTTTTTTTTCTTTTTGTTTTTCCTTATATGAAAGTTAATGGAGAGGACAGGATGAAAAGCATTCTAAATGTGTAGTGTGCGGCCTGAATCACACATGACTTAGGATTAGAGTGGTTAATTGTGATGCTTGAATTATGGGAAGAAATCCGACTCATATGTTTCTGAATTGCGCAATGAGTTTGATATAAGCCAGTTTCAAATAAGTTTTCAAAACAACTACTACTTGTTAAAAAATATTTTTTATGCAAAGTTTGTAAATATAATCTTCAGCAACAACATAATATTCAGCTAATTAAAGATTCAGGTATGCTGCTCCACGTTGTAAAACATTACTGATTAAATTGCTGAAGCTGGGAATATTTTCATTTTTGCCACTCTGTTCATTGTTATTTGGACATTATGGATTCAGTGCAGTCAATGAAACACATCAGAGAGTTAAGTTTTAACTGTTCACAATCACTGAATTCTGCAGAATGATTCACCTGAAGGATTCATTGAATGAATAATTATAAATCCCTCCATAATTTATTGATGAAAATTTAACTTGGTAAATACATGACCTTGATTGATGTGTAGATAATTGCATTACAGAAGATGTTGAAATTGGATCCTTGCACTGTAAAACAAAGGTCAACATGACACTCCGTGTTCACAGATGTTGCAGCCAGCATGGCAGGAGTGATAGCAGCAGTTTGATTTGTAATTGACATGAATCAGGCAGGCAGTCACCAAATCAGTATTGCAAAGTACAGTGTTACTAAGTTTATTCTTTATTGGTAAATTATTGTATGATTTATAACTATTAATTTTGTGCCACCTTCAAGTGAATCACGTATATTCATTTTATGGCAGTCACTGCCTGTTTTAGCAGCATTGATGCAATCTTCAGGTGATTCATATGTTCTGCATTAGTTACGCACCAGGTACTTACATGTGGTATCATATTTGCCTGTGCTGCGCTCAATGTGTAAGAAGTGTGTGAAATTAGTATATAGTGTATGAATCATCGATACATGATAAAACATATAATGACATTGTAGGAAATAAATATAACTTGATGCCTGTAGACATTTAAGAATGTAGGCATACTATAGCAATAGAAGATGGAAAGGAACTGTGACAAGATTTAAATTTAAGATGGCTGTGATTAATATGGAAGCTTGTATAAAGGGAATGTTGCGACATTTGAGTGCCAGCAATAATAATAGTAATTGTAACAGATGGAAGATGTAGACACTTAATAATGATCACTGAAAAGGTTGTCTTTCTGTCACAGACTGTGTTATTCCAATACGAGAGGGGCAGTCTGTCTCTACAGTACTGGGAGTTCTTGGATGTTTGCGTAGCATTTTTCCACATGTGTCTGTTGGAGAAGGAGGGGAAGAAGAGATGAGAGGCAGCTTTGGAGTGCGTAGATGTCATCAGGAAGCACCTTTGGCTGTTGATCGAATGATTCAGGTGGTATAGATGGTGTTTACTGGATTTATCTTGTTCAGGATAGGGGTCAGTGGTATGCTTCTGTGGGCTCAGTAATAAACTTTCAGAATCTGTAGAAGGTGGGAAATTTTCTTATTAGCTGAACCATTATTAGCCTCACAGAAAAGACTTATTCCATTGGATTAGTTAATGGCATATTGCTTGTCTGAATTCATGCAGCCGCAATGAGCACAATACATGATAAACATAGAAATTTTGGGGTTCTTAAGTTGGTCTTATTGTTTGTAATGACATGTAGTTTGCAGAGAGTCCTATTAACCCTTCCGCAACGGATAGTATTTAAATCTTTTCCTACTGCCAAACCGACGGTTTATTTAATTATTAAACAGAAAAATGCACTTATCCATGAAAAATTT